ATTTAGTTTTAGTTTATTTTTGATACACCACTTAATTACTGAGTTAATGTCCTCTTGAATATTTAAACAGTCACTTGGGGATTGGACTTTATTAAAAAGTTTTAGGTCGTCCGCAAATAGTAGTGCTTTCGAGTTTTTTATCACTCGCGGTAAATCATTTATGTATAAGAGAAACAGAAAAGGACCAAGAAGTGTTCCCTGGGGAACGCCTGATGAGGGATAAAATTCGGCTGAATTCACACCATTGAATTTCACTCTTGTTTTACGGAGAGATAAATATGATTTTAAGAATTTGACGGTCGGATTACTTACGCAATTTAAAACAAGTTTACGGAGCAAGACTTGATGGGATACTGTATCAAATGCCTTCGCAAAATCTGTATAAACACAGTCAACCTGGGCTCTCTCATCCAAGGCTCCTGCTGAGAAATGCGTAAACTGCATTAAATTTGTAATCGTTGATCTGTTCCGCGTGAAACCATGCTGCTGATCTGCAATTATACTGCTGAGATGGGAATAAAGTCTAGTATAGATCACTCTTTCGAAAATTTTCGCTATTGCTGGTATAATTGCAATTGGGCGATAATTCTCAACTAATTTTCGGCTTCCACTTTTGTGAATTGGTGTTATTCTGGTGCATTTCCAAGCTTCAGGGAATGTACATGTTTGCAAAGCTAAATTAAATAGATGTTGTAAGGGGGTTACCAGTAAAGATGCACATCCTTTCACGATGTAGGGTGGGATTCCATCTTCGCCTATAGCCGACCTCGGTTTCAATTTTTCAATTGCTTCCAGTATCTCGGATTCATCTATCTGAGTCAAGTGCAATTTGGATAGCACCAGGTCCGATTCCACGTCATCTTCCGGGTCATCGTTCCTCTCCATAGTGTAGACTGACTCGAAGAAGGATGCAAAGGCGTCCGCAATGCTTCTGGCGTCCGTTAACGAGGTGTCTTTGTACTCAAAAACTCCAGGTAGTTGACTATTCTTCCTCAACGACTTGATGTAGTTCCAGAATTTATTGGAATTCTTCCGCAGATCCATTTCAATTTGATTAATGTACCTCTTATGAGCAATGTGGATCATTCTTTTGAGTTCTTTTCTGGCTTCAATGAAGTCTTCCGATGGGCCCTGTAACCGAAACTTATTTTTCTGTTTGATTTTCTTAATAATGTCTATATTAAACCAGCTAGGATACTTATTGGCACTCCTAATTGTGACTTTGGGGACACATTAATCGAAAATGTTCATTACCGTTTGATTAAAGCTAGTTACTGCATTATCTACCGATTTGAAATTCTTCAGGATAAGAGACTCCTTCCAATTGATATCGCGAAAAAGGACGTACATTTTAAGAAAATCTGCTTTTTTGAAATTGAAGTTGGTAATTCGCTTAGCTGGTCTATGGACTTTGTAGACTATTTCTAGTGCAGGATGAAGTGGATTAATTTTATCCAGTGAGTCGACAGCAGATTTAATTTCCGCGTTTAAGTTAGTTAAAATTAGGTCAAGGGTTCTATTATTGCAGTTTTTAAGTTTAACCGTATTAATGAGTTTTAAGTTGTACATCGAAGCTATATTTTTAATTACTTTGCATTTAGCACTCGCGTTTTCGAAATTATACGTGGCGTCAACAATTTGTGGTAGGTTAAAATCGCCTGCTATTAACACTTCCGATGAATGCAACATGTTTTCAATTGTTTCTAAACTTTTGGTAAAACTCACGTACTTATCAATACCAGATTTCGGTTGAAAGTAGACAACACCAATAATGTATGAAGTATTATTAATTTTAAGTTTGACCCATATTTCATTTAGATCACTTTGAAATTCCAATTTTTCAGCATTCAAATCGGTCTTGACTGCGATTAAAACTCCGCCTCCCATGGTGCACTTCATTTCTTCGTAATTACGGTCATTGCGAAAGACCGCATATTGATTGTTTAAATACTCAGCGTCATGAAAATTTTCCGTTAACCAGGTCTCAGTCAGTAGAATAATGTCGTAATTTGTAATTGCCAATTTATTTTTGAAAGATTGCGCTTTCGTTCGCATTCCACTTACGTTCTGATAATAGATTGAGAGCGTTGATCCGTACCTATTTCCTTGCTTGATTAGTGTTGGGGATGGCCTAAAAAATCAATTCTGCTTCTTTCTTGATCGAGTCGTTTTTTGTAGACTGGGCAATCAACACTCCAGGCCGGGTGCTGTACATCCAGTTTCATTTTTAGTTTCTCAACGGCGTTGGCACAGTTACTGCATTTGATTTCCGCGTCCGAAGCTTTACAGCTCGCTAGGTCATGGGCTCCCGCACATTTGGGGCAGGTAGTAGTTTTGCTACAGTCAGTTGCCTTATGTCCGAACCCATTGCATTTGTAGCATCTTCTAGTTGTCACAGCATCATAAATTCTGCAACGGTCCCATCCTATGTTAAGCTTTTGTTCACTTAGAATTTTCCGGTAACTATTACCGTCAACCTCAGCGTAAGCCAAATACCTGTTAGGATTTCTTTTATCTTCCGTTATGTGTACGACGTTTATGTACGCGGCTTCGTCGAGGAATTGATTCTGCGCGAGAATCATTTCCTTCATTTGGGTACTCCCGATCTTGTCATTGAGGCCTACGATTTTAATCTTCGGCATCTTCTGTTTTGGTAAGGAAAGAATGTAGTCGGATCCCAGTTTCGTTTCGGCTTCCTCCTTAAGTTTGGCTGCAGCTTCTTTATTTTTACATTCAACAACAATGGTTCCTCTACGTAGAGTTTTCATTCCGGTAACTTCTCGGGTAATTGGATCGATATTTTCTTTGAGGGTGGTGAAGGTTTGCTTGGAGGGTTGGTTCGCGTCCTTGGGCTTAACAATGATAACTGGGTCATAGGTTTTCTGTTTCAACATTTTGGCGCGGCCGTTTTGGCGTGGCCATTTAGGCGCAGGTCAGTTTGGCGCGAGACGATTTGGCGAGGGCAGATTTGGCGCGGGCCGATTTGGCGTAGGATAATTTGATACGTGTGCTTTTTATTCAAATATTAAATGAATAGAAAGTACATAAAATGTAGTAACTAGAATACCCCATAACCTTTAATATTTTTTAGGGACAAATCACAGTACAGGCGTAAGGCTTCTTCTCAATTTTTTATTCAATGAAGATACTGATAGGTTTAAGGCACGAATTAAGAATGAGATGAAATAAATGAGACTTTAATCCCTCCCTTAATGGCTCAAGTGTTGTACTTCCAAGGACTTTCCAAATTTAAGTACCGTCAATGAAAGGATATGCAACATACCAATTCAAAAGGAATATCTGGTATTGTTTCCCTCTTTGCATAAATAATTAGATATTTAATAAAATTTAATTATATTATAATGACTCCTTTTCAATGGTTTATAAGTATGGTGACCATATGTACTTTTTTTAGTAGGACAGTACTTTCTTTTGAAACGCTGTCCTATTGTCCTTTACGATTTATCAAGTACACATAAATGTACTCTTTTTCTTAATTACACAAAATTAAGTCATAGTTTTTGTCCAAACGAAATATAATTATGACTTCTTGCATGTCTTTGATGCTTTGGCGTATTGCTTAGTTGTAGGTATTTTGATCCATTGTTTAGCAACCTATCGATGAAATGGCAACTTCTGAAGTAAATTCATGGTTCCAAAAAGTACGACTGGTACCAAAATGATGATTAAAATGTTCAGGCAGGAACGTCGGAAGAAAATTAACTTTTAAAATTTATATATACATATAAAGACACATAATTTATGTACCTATGTTTGATAAAAAAAAACTTTGTTTTCTTACTGTTTGATTAGATTCGTAAAATTGTGACCAGAAAAATTTCCTAGAGTATTAGCTTTAGCAGTGCATTCCCTTATAAATTATAAATGTACTTTTTTCTTGTTGAAAAATTATGGTCACCCTATATAAGGATAGCCGATGTTATTAGAATAGTGGGATTAGGTAAACAATACACTAAGTGGTTCTACCCGTGCCTTATTGTGTCAAACAAAGACACACAAAATGCGGATTGGCCTTCATTAGCGAATTCACTGAACTAACTAAATATTATATTTCTGCGTTTGTCAGACATTCGTCGTGTCCAAAATATTTGAAAGAAATTTGTGACCTGTAAAGATTCCGATCACGTATTGCTCGACCCCGGCCGTTCTACTACACCATCAAAATTTGTTTTAGTTCAAATTTGATATTTTAATGCGCCAGAACGGCTCACGCCAAAACGACCCGCGCCAAAACGGCTCACGCCAAAACAACCCGCGCCAAAACGGCTTGCGCCCAGACGGCCACGCCAAAACGGCCGCGCCAAAACAGCCGCGCCAAAACGTCCCATCCCGACTTATGGCCGTATGCACCGAAAAGTTTAAGTATAGATTAATTCCATGGTAACGATTATCGGGACAATGGTTGCCAATGATTTTAAGCTAGGCTTAAGCTAAGCTCAACTTAAATTTTTTCGGTGCATACGGCCATTAATATATTATAACAATATTGGAGGTTTTTATTTTAGAACCAAACTGATAATTTTCAAAATCTCCGGATTTTGAATGTGATTTTGAATGTAGCCTGTAAAAGTTGTATTGCAGATTCGTATTGAAAATATCCCCACCACTTAAGATGTTAAAAGGATAAGAAATTTTCCATTTCCGGTTCCGGCTGATCTGCATAAATACTGCATTCCTTGATAACGAATAGAAAAAGTAGCTAGCATTTTATTTAGACGTCATTTTTACACCACAAAATGGCGATTGATAGCATAGTATCAAATTGCACAAACACCTTGATTGTCAGTCTCATCTTTTGCTTATATTCACACGTGCATTAAATAAATATTGCCATAATTAGATTAGTTCAGTTCTCTCCAGAATTTTGTTATCGCTATCGCGTCTACACCTCAAGCACGCAGGAAAGATGACTCCAACCGTCGACATAAAGATTAATAAGTCAGCATTTTCACTCGTCGGACAAAGACGGCTTTTATTATAGGTAAATGTGTTGATATAGCGAAAATTATATGGAGGATAGGTATGAGTCTTTCCGGTTGATGATAAATTTTTAATAGTGCAGTGTGCAGTTTGCGCGCGACGAAGTGGAGGTCGGGGTTGTGATGCCGAGTGGTGGGGATCAAAGTATTTAGTTCGTGATTTTTGTTATTAATCGAAGTCGAAGAAATGTAACAAGAATTCTCAACTCGGTAGCATTTTTGATAATCTTGATGTGACTACAGACGTTTTGTGCTGGTATTCTCGCGAATTTTTGATTAAAAAAATGAGACCGAGCGGTTTTGGAAGATACCCAAACCACAACCAGCCAAATAATAGACTCCCTTTGCTGGAAAGACCATACTGGCAGTGGCCAAATTGGGTAAGTGTGGTTAGTTATGTAAATGTGAATAATTTTGGCGGGAAATTGGCAAGACCACAATCTGACAATCGCATAGTAAAAAAGATCTTCGTTACTATTACTGTACCTAGCATTGACTAAACCATTTTTGGATTACTTCACATATCAAAATGTTGAACCATTTTGACGAAAATGACGAATACCTTATTGATTCTGACAATTTGCATGAAATCTCTTTTTGACAATTTATTAACCCAAATAAGTACTTTTACTACTGTTACTTTTTCCGAGATATCGTTTTTTGTGGTAGAGATAGCACAGACATTTATTCTCATATGTCTATGAGAGATAGCTATGACCACAAAACATGAACGATAGCGATGTTTTCAAAATAATCTGAACAGAACTTTTTGAAACTGATAAATGTAGCAAAAGTTTTACGCTCGCTGCATAATGAAAAAAACTACAAACTTAGAGAAGTTTGAAATGAAACAAAACGAAGCGGAAACTGTATGAAAATCTCAAATGAGATGAGCAATTTTTGGAAATTGATATACGCCGTAACGTGCATCAAATCCGCCACGCGTGTGCTATGAAGAAAATTGCGATTGACGTGTGGCGTCGCATCTGGGAATATCGAAGTACGAGGCCCCAATGGGGCGAGTACTTTAATTTCCGAGTTAAGTAATGCCATTTGACTGGCGAGTTTTGCATTAAATTTTACCCAAAATCGTATTTTGATATAAAATTTCAATTTTTATATAGAACTTTTGATTAATGTCAATTTGTCAGTGATGACACTGTCATTATGACAGGAGTCATTGTAGACATTAGCAATGTCAGAGATATGGGGCCGGTAAAGTAACAGGTGTGGCCTGCAAATACATAAATAAATGAAAATGAAGGGACCGATGGTAAAACTATTGTCTGTATCACTTTCGACATCGACATGTTTGCCAACCAGCTCTTAATGTGGATTAAAATAATATACTGCTCGCCATAAGTACCTATCTGCTGTGTACTTTGATCAATTTTGATGAAATTTGATAGTTACATTTATTTCGAAATAAGAAACGACGAAAATTTGAACATTATTGAAATTAAAGTAACACTAATAATAATAATAATATAATCCAAGGCCTTCCCCTTTGCTGGATTTAACACGTGTGGGTTATGATGGGTAGAAGGCTAAATTCTTTACAACCACCTGTAAACACTAAACAGTTTAGGGTGATCTTCACAGGTGTCTTTTAGAGTCTTGGAACAGTGTATCATAGGCTAGGATCGATTCACTTTTTTCAGTATGCCCAATGCCCAGTTGAGTAGCTGAATGAGCAAGAATCGATGGAATGATCTACACAGTTATTAGTGTTGCTCTCGGTGTTGCTCGAATTTGTTGTAATTGTATCATGTTTTGATTCATTTTGTTCATGATTATAAGAAGATTCTAGAAATAATTGTGGATATTCTGAAGAATCTGTAGGTTTTAGAAGTTGTAATGATTCTATTCAAATTCTAAAACACTTGAAAGAGAAAAAAGAAGAAATATTGTTATACAAATGGTTAATTAGGCTTGGGTACGGGCAGGGGATTCCTTGGTAGGGCCGAGGGTAGGGCTGTCACGGCACTACCGGCCATATATCCGGGAAATCCGAACCCTCGAATCAAAATATTCGGTCGGGTATCCGGCAAATGAAAAAATACGGTAATGGTAAAGAAATTTCAATTAACGGAACCTGTTTATTTAAGATTCGCATGGAATTAGCAATAACATTCTAGCAATAGATTTTAGACTTTTAAAACACGTGCAGAAAAACACCGCAAATACACCGATATAGCTATCGAGCTTAAGGCGCAATGGAGAATGAAATCTACTGTTATAGTTCCCATTATTCTTAGTGCTACCGGAGTTATGCCAAAGACAATACACCACAATTTTCAACTTTTAGGTTTAGATAAAAACATATAACATTTACAAAAAGCCTCCCTTTTTCAAAACACTGCATAGTTTTATTGACTTAAATACAATACAGTATTTGTTGTACTGCTCGCTTTTCTAAATCCAAATTGGTTTGGGTGAAGTAAGTTATTATCTTCAAAGTACTTCGTAACTCGTTTAGTCATTAGTTTTTCAAAAATTTTAGAGAAAGTTGGTAAAATGGAGATAGGGCGATAATTTGTGACATTATTTACATCACCGTTTTTATGGATTGGAACTACAGCGGCAATTTGCAACATATGTGGAAAGATTCCACTAGTAGAACAACAGTTTATTAACTTAACTAAAGGAGAAGTGCAAACACTAAGATTACTTTTTAAAATATCAACACTTATTCCATATACATATATCTTTTGTATTACTTCTTTTCAAAGTAGGTACATATTGTGTCTCTTAATGTCAACATGTGACGCTGTACCGAAGCTAAACATTGCAGTGGACCTGATGGGTTCTTCGGGGGAGCCGTTGGCGACGTTGGAGACGTACTATTTACAAAATTACTTGCTATATTTACAAAATAAGTATTAAATTCATTTGGAGATATGTTGCATTTTACCTCGCATTTTACATTTTTTCTTGTTTCGCGGTGAGAATTTATAATTTTCCACATTATACTAGTCGGAAATCGAAATTATCCAATTTATAATAATTCACTAACAAGTTTAAAAGTGTTTCTTAAATTTACTAGTTCTTTACTGAACCACTTTACACAATGGTCTTTCTCGCGGCATTTCATTTTTACCTCTGGAAAGGCAATTATGAATGCGTCATGAAGATTACTAAGGTACGTATTAATTTGATGTCCATATCCCAATGATTGTTCAGAAAGTCCCAATTACACGCTCTAGCATACGAATTAAAGAATTAAGTCCCTTCCTTGTAATTGTTCTGCACATTTTAATGGCAAAACCATTACGATTAACAGTAATACACTTCACTGCAACTGATTGTCCGAGATGATCGGAGAAATGGGTTAAATGAGCTCTTGAAGCAAACGCGTCCGCACTGAAGTTGATAAACACATTGTCAATGCAATTATTGTTTCTTGTAGGAAAAGTTTTTGTTTCTACAAAACTAAAAGAAGCCATTAAATCACACAGTATTTTTTGCATTAGGATCTTGTGTATGGAAATTAACGTTGAAATCTCCTGAAAACTATTCGGTCATACTTCTGCAGAAGTACTAAAATTTGTTCAACCTTAGACAGAACAATTTTAAAATCGCCAAGGGGGTTATAAGTTGTAACAATTGCTATTTTGCGAATTGTGCAGAATACACCAGTAACTTCACAATGCTGTTCCACACTGATGTCGTTTAACTCAGTCATCTGATTAAAATGTGAACGGTTAACTAAAATTAAAAAACCACACCGTGTATTAAAGTAGTTCGATAAAATGCAGAACACAACCGCCATGAACCAAGGTGTAAACCGTTTGTTGGTTCTATTTGTGAAAACCAGTGTTCACAGATGCACACTACATCAAATTTATGTTCCTTTAAAAACATTTCGAGTACTTATCTCATATTTATTCCTAATAGGTACACTGAATATTTAAGTGGAATAATGTGAAAGTAACGTTTAACCGTTTGCTATTGGTTTCTGAATCCGCCATAAAAAACGATTTACACAGATCCCGGTAGGCCAAATTGTTGGTGCGAAAAACTTTTCGTTAAATTCCGGCAGCACTGATATTTTAAAGGATGCATAATATGATTCAGGGTATTTTGAAACAACCTGTTCCACTGTAGGATCGAGAATTCCGTTTTATGTTAGATGTCCCTTTACATCTGCTAGTTTGGTTTTTGGGTGAAATCTGGATACATGAAAATAAAATAAAATGTATACGCTTCGCTACACCTTGTATTGAGAATGTATTAGTGCTAGTATCAGTTGTTAACGTTTTTGCACGGTTTCCGCGCCTTCCTTTTTGTTTTTGCCAGTCACACTGGGAGTAGTTCCAGGTGCCATAACACCAGAATTACTGACCCCGTTATTTGGGAGGTCATTATTTATGCAGATTATCCTATTTATTGTGTAGGACTGAGGTGAAGCACCTTTGTTTACATTGGTAGGTATTTCCATAGTGTTGGGCAGTTATAGCCCGAGCCAGGCGGTTTGATATTTGGTTTACTCTTGTCGCTTTTCGCAGCAGTAGCGTAGTTAAAACTTGGTTTTTCATTTTCCATATTATTACTTTTTTTAGAATTAAGTATTTCTAATTGTTTTATTAGCACAGTTTTGGGCTTTTATTGCAGCTAATTCTGATTTTAGGTATGTACATAAAAATTTATTTTTGCAATTCAGTCCATAAATGGTTGAAATGCAAAAAGGGCACTGAATGTTTAATCGATTAGACTCAACTTTTGGAATTGCGTATTATATCGCTAGGAGCTCGTTAATAATGCCTTAAATGCAGTAACTTTCAACTACAATTCCCAAATTTACTGAACCTTTACCCTCGAAAAGTATTACCCACCCCGGCCCCTAACAACAAATTTACCTTGAATTAAGGTGACCAGCTGTCCCGATTTGGATGGGACAGGTCGAGGGGTAAACCGCTGGAGTAATTTGGTGTACACGGTTTGAGTAATAGCGGGTAATACTTTGTGGTAATACGACATTATGTATGGGTAATGGTGTACACGTTTTACAATCAAATGATTTTAGTGGCACCCTATCAACATTGCGTGACCAAATAATAGCAAAATAAAATACAAGAACGAGAGAAGTCTTTACAAGGTCCAGTTTTTACAACTTGTTCAATATAATAATTTTAAAACATTGTTTTGGTTGTACAGAGTGTAGAATTGGTTTACGAGCCATAGGTATTTCCGAGGGTATTTCTTTCGGTGTCGCATTTTTATTAGTTGACAGTTTTTCTCGAGGTTTTTCTCGTCTAATTGCTAGAATGAGTAGCAGGGGTGGCAGGTACCTATTCTTCTAGGTGGGGCTTAATCAGCTTTGATATTTCCCCTTATATAAACGAGCCGTTAAAATTGTTTGCATTTTCACATTACACCC